TCTCCACCAAATCGATAAGAGTTCTCTCAGTCACTTGGTGTTTTCTTCTTAGTCAGAGGAGCAAAAATTTTTGTCTGCTCCTCAATCTTCAGCCAAACGAATTACAGAATATATACATAACAATCCAGAAGCACAAAAGAATCTTCACTTTCTTCCAATGGATCAATGACCGGCGACCATACTGGAAAATTCTCCGATCACTTAGAGTGACAAAAATCGAGAAAAATGAATCAAATCGCACACTCACACAATCAGTCTCTCAGTTCACGACCCACTTCAACTGAGAAACCAATCACAACCACAAAAAGCTCAGTTCCACCCCCAAAAACCTCACCAACCAATCAGCGACCTGCAGATTCAGAAAATGGCGATCCACTTGCAGAGGCCAAGAAACACCGAAAATTCAAACAGCTTATAGCCACAACAAAGCAAAGGCTAGAGAGAACTTCCCCGTGCAAGTGCCAGAATGAGTACACGCCTACATATATACAGACGAGCACGTCGTGTACGATAAAATTGCTGAGCATCTACATACAAATCAAAAAGGTCTGCAAATGGAGAGAGAGAGAGAGAGAGATTACTGAATGGAATTACTGCATCGCTCGGTCGTGCCAGAATCTTCAAAATTCACCACTCATCAACCAGACTAATTACTGCAAATCTGAAATTAAATGTCGATGTCAGCCAAAGAGTAAATATATTTACAGGCAGCGAGTCATCTATTGAGTTGTCGACCCGGCGAGTCAGTTGAATACGCAGGCAAGTTGAGGGTCTCCCTGGAAAGCTGAGGAAAAAAGAAACTCAACTCCAAAAAAATTTTTTTTTTTTAAACTTTTCTCTCATTGTGTATGCCTGCGGTGCACATAAGAAACTCGTACTTTAAAGTTTAAGCATTTTTTTTTAAAAAAAAAACTTTATTATAAAAATGAGTTTTTCATATTTTTCGTAATATATCTCATTATGAAAATAAAATAAATATAACCAATGAAAAACCGATATTATTAAGTACTTGTCTTTACACTACATTTTTTATTTAAAAAATATTATTATATCTTGTAATTTTGATTTTTTTTTAAATCAATTAACTAATCTCTTATTGTTAATGTACAAAAAATAATGAAAAGAATTCATACTTTAAAGTAGAGTTATTTTTTTAATATTCTTACAAATCAAGATCATTCATTTTTTTAAGCACTTTCATATCCCATTTTTAATGTATACTTTATATCAATTTATTCAATGGCCAGCTATTAGTCAAATTACTAATCAAATTAGAAGAAAAAACCAAATAGAAAATTCAAATATTATTCTATATCATCTTTTTTCTTTGTTATTTATTTTTTTTTATCAAATATCAAATTTAATCTGATTAAAATAACAATTTAAAATTATTATAAAACAAAATTCAATGTAATTAAAGTAACAATTTAATCGGGGATGGACTAGCATCCTTTTTTGGTTGGATAATTGGTTAAATTTCTCGGGTGCCTTAATTCATCGCGTTCGAGGTGTGGTACCGGAGGAACAGTTAGCTTGACCTGTTTCTAGGTACGTCAACGAACTAGGTCAATGGGATTGGCATAGTTTTTCTTCCCTGCTACAACCCTCGGACTTGCTGCGCATATCGGCCATTTTGCAGCCTCGGGCCGGGGTAGGGCCTGATCGCATTTTCTGGGGATGGTCGTCTAACGGGATGTTTACGACTAGTTTAGCTTATAAATCGTTAGAAGCAGTTCCTGTGGCTGGCGGCACAAGACCGTCTGTTGACTAATTGCGAAAGGCACCGACGACATTTAACAGATACCTCATTATGCGACCTGTGCAAAGTTCAGCCGGAGACCGTTCTTCATGCACTACGTGACTGTACACACTCGGTTCAATTTTGGAAGGCGATATTGCCCCGCTCACGATGGACAGAGTTTTTTGCTGTGGAACTTGGTCCGTGGCTGGAAGCTAATCTTACCGGCACGACGAACGACCTCGACGATGACTGGGACTGCTCCTTTGGTGCTGGGGTGTGGCGGTTGTGGCATGACCGGAACAATTACATATTCAACGGTCTTGAGCCTGTGGTGGAGCGGACTGTTCATGAAGTTCGGAACTATGTGGCCTCTTTGACTAATGCGAAGCTTAGTGTCCTACAGCTCGGGCAACGTGGAAAGTTGCGTCAAGACCGAATGATTTACTTTGAACTGCTGGGGCCGGACTGGATAAAATGTAATTCGGATGGGGCTTTCAACATCTCTACTGGCATGGCTAGTGCGGGTGGTTTACTTCGGGGCCAAAATGGTCGCTTCCTGGGTGGCTTTATTATGAACGTTGGTTTTAGCTCCATTTTGGGAGCGGAGTTATGGGGGCTGCTTCAAGGTTTGTTGCTCGCGTGGGATTTGGGATATCGTCGAGTGGTAGCGGATGTTGACAGTAAGGTGGTAGTGGACTTGGTGAACAATCAGGCCGAAGTCGACGGTGTGCATAATAGTCTAGTCCGGGCTACAAAGGAAGTGTTGCTTCGTGATTGGAGTGTGTTTATCCGGCATGTTTACCGGGAATCAAACTTCTCGGCTGATTTCTTGGCTTCTTTGGCCGCGACTAGTCCGGGAGGCTTACAACGCCTGGAGTTCCCACCGGCTGGTTTTAAAAAACTTTATTATAAATATGAGTTTTTAATATTTTTCGTAATAATACCTCATTATGAAAATAAAATAAATACAACCAATGAAAACCCAATATTATTAAGTACTTCTCTTTACTCTGCATTTTTTATTTAAAAAATATTATTATATCTTGGAGTTTTGATTTTTTTTTTAAATCAATTAACTAATTTCTGATTGTTAATGTACAAAAAATAATAAAAAGAATCTAAACCTTAAAGTAGAGTTATTTTTTTTAATATTTTTACAAATGAAGATCATTCAGTTTTTTTAAACACTTTCATATCCTATTTTTAATGTATACTTCATATCAATTTATTCAATGACCAACTATTAGTCAAATTACTGATCAAATTAGAAGAGAAATCCAAAGAGAAAATTCAAATATTATCCTATATCATCTTTTTTCTTTGTTATATTTTTTTTTTATCAAATATCAAATTTGATCTGATTAAAATAACAATTTAAAATTATTATAAAACAAAATTCAATGTAATTAAATTAACAAATTAGACAGCAAAACATTTGAAATGTGATAGAAAATTTCAACTTAAGTGATCCCATCATAAATCTGTAAACATATCGATTTTGTACATTATGAAGAAAACCATCAATGTAAACCAAACAACGAAACACGATAACCAGCAAGCACCAAAAAACACCACAAACTAGAACATTGATTCTAACAAAAACATTAAAATATTCATTTCATAACTCCTCCAGCTCCTGCCATCTGAACCGCCACCACCCCTCAAATACCGGAAATAAATAAATAACATCATGTGAACACTCAAGTTGTAAGGTAAATTAGTAAACTACCTTCAAAGGATTCAATATAACCACTTGGGTCTAAGTTGCCACGATATTGTTCTAAGAAAGCGTACCCTCATATAAACTATGATTGAATATGATTAATATTACATTCTATCGAAAACTGCAATACAGTCACTTGATTTCTTAATATTTTATTAGTACACGTACACATATGTGAATATGTGTTTTCAATCCAAATAGAGCAGCGTATGGGTCTGGTCGAGCAATACCAACAGGTCCATAGAAGC